GAAGAAATCTTTAATAAACTCATCATAATTGTCTTTAAGATGGTTTTTCAAGTTGAGAGGAATATTTTGAGCAATGTGAAATATGCAATGAAGAGAGTTTGTAGTTGGAAACTTATCACATATTGCAGAGAGTAAGGCAGGGTCCACGTCAGTAAAAATAACCTGTGGAGTAGCACTATTTGTTGCTTGTTTAATCTGCTACAAAATCTAGCTATATGCATCTTTTGTTTCGTTATCTGTCAATGCTTGAGCCACAAGTCTGGAAGATAAATGGTTATCAACCACCAAAAAAAGGGACAATGCTATCTCATAACAATTAGTAGTGCTAGTATTATCATTTAGAACAACATCACCAAACTTTAATCATCGTTCAATTTGATTAGGAGACATATAGAATAATCGACGAAGACATTTACTACTAGGGTCTCAATCTACTTGAACATACCATCGGGGTCAGCTTCTTTCTTGTTTAACAATTCCTCATACAATTTGCTGGCATCATTTGTCTGGTCATGTGATTTTGAACGAAACCGTTGAATTACTTGCCATAGCACTGGCATATAGACTTTTACATAGTATTTCTCCTCAAGAGCTTTACGAATTTGCTGGGGGTTACAATTCATCTTAGTTACAAAAAATTTAACATCCTCTATTATCTCCTTTGTGAATGCTACATTTTCCTGAAAGTATAACGTGCTTGGTCAAGTTCATGATTTTGGTGCTTGTTGATTAATTTTGAAATGTATACAACTTTGTTAGGATTTTCTTTTTCAGGGCACGACAGATTTATTTGCCACGTATATCCAACACGTTTGGTTGTGGTTTCTTTTTTTTGATTCTTGCTTTTAGTTGCTTCAGGTTGTCTAAAATGTTCACAGACTATTGTGCATCTTTGAATATCCCCATTTTTGAATTTTTTGATACAAAAACAACGTGTTCTGAATCCTTCTCTTTTTTTATACTTTCTCAATTCATTTATAGCATGTTCCTAATTAGAAAACACTATGCCTACTTGTAATTCATAATGCCGATCATTTTCAGGATTCTCCGTATCATAGTTACTTTGATTCATATTATTTAGCGCATTACTACTAATGTCAATAGCTTGATTATCATCATACAGCACACCAAAGATATTATCTACATAATTCCACTCACAAAAAGTTGCATTCTCCTGAAATTCTTCATGGTAGGCACCTCCCGAATTCATCATAAGGTTATTTTCGCCTTCAATTTGATTTTCAAAACCAAATTCATTTTGGTTACTTTCATACAAGACATCGATTTTATTAATCGTATTATTCCACCCAGAAAACACTATATCAGCTTGAACTTTTTTATGGTAGGTACTTTTAGAAGTCATTATATTGTATAATTCATCGTTATACAATTCGTCATTACTAACATTGATTCTATTTATCATATTACTCAAATCATGTTGCATCATGCTAATAATATTAAAGCCGGCTTGGTTATGAACGATTAGATCACTTTTTTAGTGGTATCAAGTGTAAGTAGTATCAAACGTACGTTATATCAAGCATACAGCAAATGGTATCGTAAGTAGTATCAAATATAAGTTGTATCAAGCGTAAGTGATATAAATCAAGCGTATACGATATTAGGTGTAAGTGGCTAAGTGTAAGTGATTAAGTGAAAGTGGTAAAGTAAATGTGTTAATGCAAATGTAGTAATGCGAACGTGTTAATGCGAATGTGATAATACAAATGTGGTCGAGCGAATGTGGTCAAGCAAATGTGGTTAACAAAAGTGGTAAAGCGAAAGTAAAAATTAGAATTTTTTTTATTTTGGTAATATTAATATCATATAAAAAAAGGGTTGCGTCATAGTGCTATAGCACTATAATGCTATACTATTATAATGATATTTTAATAAAATTAATTTATTAAACTTTTTTATTACATCATATAA